CATTTTCATTTATTACTTTTCAGTCTATTCTAGCACTTGCTTTCATCTTCTGATTGTTTTGATAGTGCTCAGTAAATCTTCATAATGTGTTTTTTAAATGTTTTGTAAAACTGTTGTTGTAATTCTTCATCTGTTGATTTCTCTTGAGTTGTTGCTTGAAGATAATGTTTTGATTTCTTAGAATTCTCTTCATTTTCTTTTAAGATGACTATGAGTTTTTTTTCTTTGTGTTTGACATTCTTTATTCAACATTGCTTTGCTCAGTGTTCTGATCTATTACAATAAAAACATAATTTATCTCTTTTTCTCTATTCTTTTTCTTTTTCATTAAAAGTGTCTGTTCTGATTGCATCTAATTCTATAGACATAAATCTGCAAGAATCCACTTGAGATGCTCTGTCTCATCTCTTGTGATTCATCAAGCTGAGTTTCTTTCACAGAATCTTTCCTTGTTTCTCCATCTTTTATTTATAAAGTTGATTTCCAATTTTAACTGCTACTTTGATCATTCCAGTCAGATTTTGTGATTGCTTCTCCATGCCTGCAATCTTATTTTTGATGTCATTAAATAGTTCTTGATAAAAAGTATCACTGAGGGCCTCATCATCTCAATCTGTGTTGACACATACTTGTTGAAATCTCATAATATATTCTTGTGATGACATTTTCTGCTGCATGTTCTGTAACTGTTGTGTTGCTGCATTTTATTCTTTAACTTCTCTGAAAGTGATTTTAAGTGTTTTAATAAAGATCTTATAATGATTAATAACTCTGAGCATGTTATCATCTTGATTGACTTCTCTTTTCTTATAGTAGTTTCTCAAATAAATATTGAATCAATCAAATGCTGCTTTCTGAAGATATAATGCTGTCATTAGTATCTTTTCTTTATTGTTTTTGAATACTTCTCTCTTCATATTCATGTAAATTTATAATTGTTTCAGAAATGCTTGTAGCTTTCCTCACTCATTTTTGAACAGCTCCAGTGAGTTGATTCTTGTGTTGTCTCTAGTGTTGGGAATTGTCATGATCTGAGCCTCAATCTACTTGTTATAATTCTTAAATTCAAGATTTTATTGAGTCAAGATTTCTACCACCTGTTCAAGTCATGTAATTTTTTCCATTATTTCTCATACACTGTTTGAGGTTTAAGTTGTAGATGTGATTTTTATACTCTGTTAGACTTCTTAATGGATGGAATTCATATCTTTATCTCTTTTTCACTTGTGATGCAATGTCTCTCCTTTGCACTTAAGCTCTGAGATCTCAGATGTATTCTCTTCTGAGTCAGAGATGATCAATGTGTTATTGAACTTGTTGTTCAATGTAACAAATTGAAGCTTTTGTTAGAGCCTAGTGTGAAATGGTAAAGAAGTGTTGGACTTAGAGTCATGTGACCAGATTCTTCAGGTGACTGCTGTTAATAGAGCTCAGGGCAAGAGCTAAGAGCAAGAGAGTATATATTGCACAATCATCCCAGACCCCTCTTTCCTTCACCATATTTAGTATTTTCATTGAGACCTACCTAGTATGACAGTTTATTAGATTCTTCTTCTTCTATTCTTGCACCTAGTCTGAGATCATATTATAATACTAAACATTGTCCTACTTTGCTCTTTTTGAAGCCTTTCAGTTAAAAGATTTCAAGCAGTATTGATCATGGCTTCAAGCACATCAGCATCTGCAAACAATCTGAACTTACCACCATTGGAGAATCAGCTGTTGAATCTTTTCTTGTATTGATGAATTGATCTAACCCCAAGCTCACAAGAGAACAAAATGAACCAAATTTCTTTTGAACACTTTAATACTGCTGTGGAACAGGAATGCACAAGCAGTCTATGATGGAATCAGCAGCACAATTCATGAAACTTGAGTGCACAGCAAATGAATTAGAAGAAAAGCTCAGAATCAGATCAGTGTTCTGAAGAAACAAGTAGCTGTTCTGATGGAGGAATGAGATTGATACAAAGAAGCATGCACAACTGCATTGCTGAACATGCAGGAATGAGAAAGCACTTCTGCTCATGTAACTGAATTCAGAGAAAAGTGATTGGTCAAGATTGATGACTCCAAGCACCTTACAGATGGAAAGGAACTCAAGTTTGAGCATTGATCTTTCAGAATGAAGAATAAACTATGAGAGAATGCAAATCACCTTCCCACAGAAACCAGCAAGATCATCTATATTAAGAATTAAACTGATGAAGATGCCACACATCACATTGCTCCCTGCATGTGAGAAGAACATCTGGAACATTATCAAACAGCAGAGAAAGTGTTCAAACACTTGAAGAAAATCTATAAGAATCTGAACAAGCTCTTCAATACAAAGAATGACTACCATTGACTGGTCATGAGAAACAATGATGATTATCATCAATTTGTTATCAAGTTTCTGCACTTGATGGGAGAAGCAGAAGTATCCAAGAAAGATTACAAGAATGATTTCATGAACAAGCTATCTCATGAAATGCAGAAAGCAGTGGCTGCTGTTCATGTCATTATCAGAATCTTTAGTGAATTTCAGAAAATCTGCTCACACACTGCTCACATTCTGAAGAAGATCCAGACTGTCATCAACCACTGAAATTCTGCTGGAACAGCTGCTTGCAATGCAGAACAGCAAGTTAAAAGTTCCATGTCCAGCTGTGAGGGCACTGCAACTCCAGCTCCTGACAACAAGAACTGACTGAGATCAATTGTGTGCCACAATTGCAAAGATCTCAGCCACATGAAACACAATTGCTCATACAAAAACAAGACATCCACAGAGGTTCAGGAGTTGAAACTCAACAATGAAAATAATCAGCTGGGAAAAGAGCAAATCTAGAAGAAGTCTCCATTCTGAACAGAAAAGTATTATTAAAGAAGCTGGATTTAAGCAACTTAGTGAGAGGACAGGCATTCCTTGTATGTAGCAAATTAGTATTGAACAGAGTCACAATCTCAACCAATTCTCTTATTGATACTGGAGTGAACAGTTTTATTTTCATTGACACATGACTAGCAGTGAATGTGGCTTGAATATATGGTGGAAATATTCACCAATTGCCAGAGGTGTGCAGTATCAGAGACTTTAATGGGAATGCTGGATCATCTATCACACATCTTGTCTTCTTCCACCTGTGGTTGGACAGTTATTGATTCAAAAATGTCCCTATGCTGATTGCTAATTTGGGACAACATCTCTTGATCATTGAACAGAAATGGCTGGCAGATCACAATGTCTGCTTGAATGTGACTGATCAGAGGTTGCTCTGACTGAAGGAGCCTTCAGTAAAGAATGCTGTGCTGGCAGTGATATCAAAGTCAGTATCATGAAGAATTCTACAGCAATTCATACTGGACCCACAGCACCAAGAGAAAGCAGACTGTTGAGACAAATTGATAGAACTTGAGATCACACATGAGTGACAAAACCACTGGAAAGAACACAGACAATTGAAGAAAGGTTCTGCTAGTGAGACTTATATTTTAAATCAATTAAAAGTGTCTCAAAAAACACTAAAAAAGCAAAACAATCAGTGTCCTCATCAATACAAAATGATGAACAGAGCATTTATTGACACAGCAGCATATCATCAACACATGAAAAAGACATCTGATAGCTGTCATGTGACTTCACTTCAGCAAATTGACAGGCTAATGAATGAAAAGTGAAAAGACATTAATGAAGTGGATGAAGATGATAAGAAGACTGATATTAATAAAAAACTCTCAAAAATCTACAAGAAATTTTGAAATGTATTCTTAAAAAAGATCTCAGATCAGTTGCTGCAGCACCACAAGAGAGTGAACTACAAGATTGATCTTCTATCTGGAGCAGATCTGAACAGAAACATAGGCTGAGCACTGCTGTACAAAATGAGTATGGAAGAACTGAAAACAGTCAAGAAATACTTGAAGACAAATCTGAAAAAGAAGTTTATTGTACCAACAACTGCATTCTTCACATCATCAATTCTTATTGTACACAATGGAGCAAAACTGTGCTTCTGTGTTAATTTCCACAAGTTGAAGGCAATCTCAAAACATGATCAATATCTCCTTCTCTTGAGAGATGATTCCAGGCATCAAAGGACAGGCGCTATCTATTTCATCTATCTCAACATCTGTCAAGAATTCCACAGAATCCATATGAGTGAGGAATCAGAGGACTTGACCAGTTTGTGAACACAGTATGAATCATCCAAATACCATGTGGTTCCATTTGAACTCATAAATGAATCTGGAGTCTTTCAGCAATACATCAATTCAATCTTCTTTGATTGTCTGGATGATTTTATGATGGGATTTGTGGATGATCTGTTAATTTACAGCAAGATCAAGAAGAAGCACAAGAAGCAGGTGAAAAATGTTTTTCAATGATTGAGAGAAGCTGGGCTACAGACCAGTATCAACAAGAGTAAATTCAGTGTGCAGCACACCAAATATCTAGAGTTCATTATCACCACAGAAGACATTGAGGTGGATCTAGAAAAAACAGCTGTTATCATTAAGTGAACTGAATCATTAACAGTTCAGAGAGTATTATCATTCTTGAGATTCTGCAATTTCTACTGTCATTTTGTAAAGTTCTATAGTCACATAGTCAAGCTTCTTTACTGACTCATCAAGAAGAATCAGTCTTTTCTTTGGAGCAGCAATTGTCAGACAGTCTTTAACAAGCTGAAGAAAATGCTCATCAGTGCTTCAGTACTGTACCACTATGACTCAAACTGAGAAACAAGAATTGAAACTGACACATTGGATGAGATAATTGTTGGAGTTCTATTGGAACAGTTTAAGAATGGACAATGGCATTCAGTGGCATTCTACTCCTCTTCAATGAGTGCAATGGAAAGAAATTATGAAATACATGACAAGAAAATGTTGGTGGTGGTGCATGCCCTGACAGAATGGCAAGCTAAACTGGAAGGACTGCAGCAGAAAGAAAGATTTTGAATTCTTACAGATCATCAGATGTTGGGAGTATTTCTTGACAATCAAGAAGCTGAACACCAGACAGACTCAATAAGCTGAATTTCTTTCATATTTTTATTTCAAAATCAAGTATCAATCAGACAAGAAGAACACACTGACAGATGCACTCAGTCAATCTGAGACAAGAGTAAGAACAGACAAGCTAAGAACATGGATTCTGCTTAGACTGGAATGCTTGAACTCAAGAATCAGAACTGAACTGGAGGGCAAGCAGTCAAGAGAGGCAGTGCAGACAACAAGAGAGTCAGAAACTGCAGCACAGCTGAATGAAATTGAAGAAACAGATCAAGCAGCTGTTGACTGAGTTGTTAAAATTAACTGAACTGCAGAATTACTGAAGCTTCTGTGATTGAAGACTAGTCAGAGGGAGAGATCATGAAGTCTGACAAGTGAAGATCTTCTATATTATGAAGACTGATTGATGATTCCCACTGAAGAGAACCCATCCCTATCAGCACAGCTAATCAAGAAAATTCATGAGCAGTCATCAATGACCCATCTGAGCAAAAAGAAGACTTGGGCTCTGATCAAGAAATGATATTACTGATCAATATTGTGGCAGAATGCAGACCATTATGTGGAGAACTGTCAAGTCTGTTGATAAATCAAAATATTAAGAGATAAGACACCAGAACTACTGAAACCACTATCAATCTCTCATCACATGTGGCAGCACATCTCAATGGATTTCATAAATGCCCCCATAACAAAACAGAAGCACAATGCAATCTTGATTATTGTATGTGTTATTGAACTTGTTGTTCAATGTAACAAATTGGGGTTTAGTGATCAATACTCCAGTGATGCTTGATCTCAAGTCAGCAGACTTGCTTAATAACAAAGAGTTTTCATACAGATATGACAGAATTGGGTCAAGACCATCATGTCTTCTCAAGATTAGCAAAAGCAGATACAATTGTACAGTATCACAGAACTTTGTCAATATGGAAAGTAATCAAGATATGATAGTATCTGTATAGATAAATCTATAGAAAGAATGATAAGAGAAATTGATCATGATGAATGAATCCATCTGATCAATAATAAAGAGCATTCTTATATACATGATGGGTATTGTGAATAGTCCAAATAGTTACTTCTATTCTTCTGTCCACTAGTCAGAATAGTCATAACTATTCTAACTATTCAGCTATCCACCAGTTGAGATAGTCACTACTATCTTGACTATTCAGTCATGTGACTTTCACTTTCTCAGATTCTAGTTCTTTCCATTCATAACTCTTGTAGCCTCATCATGCTCCACTTTCCAGTCACATTCTTCATACACTCTTTCAATGACATGCAATGATTCTGTGCTGTGCCACAAGATTTATAACATCATCTCCTCCTTTCTTAGCATGTTGTCCTCAATCACTTGCACTCTCTCTTGGATAATAAAGAGTGATTGTCCTCTTGCTTGATTTCCAAAAGATTTTCATTCTGTAAGTGAATGTTCTCATGATTCTGTTGTCATGACTTCAAAGTCTTCTCACAATAACAAGCATCTAGCTTCTGAAATTGAAGAAATTGGTGTCATGATGTCTTCTCACTGCATTTATTGTTCTCATCACAATAAAGAGTGTGTTTGTTCCAATAAATCAATAAAGTGCTCCAAATGTTGTCAACTCAGTCATTATTGTGTTGTCAATTCTGCACCTTTCAATCATGATTGGTGAAATCTCAAAGCTGCTCACAACAAGCTTGAACTTGAAGAGACAAAAGTCTTTAAAGCTGTTCAAGCTGCCTCTGCCAAACTTCTTCATCTTCAAAAACAAAAACATCTTCTTCATGATCATGTGGGCAAATTTCTTGAATCAGATCTTCAGTCATCAGAGAAGTTGGAGCATCTTGAGAAGAAAGAACAGAAAAGAGTGGCTGAGCAAGTGAAAATCCAACAACATCTTGCTACATTAGACAATCTTCCTCCATCAGAGTCACTTCCCAAATTCTTCTTCTTGTTTATTAATGCTCTTTTAAATGAGAGTATCATTGATGATACATCTCAACAATCTTCCAGATGTTCATAAAATTCTTCACCAGTTCCCAGATGTTTTTCAAGATATTGTACCCTTTCCATTTCACTAGATAGTGAAGTTTTCCACTGATCATCTGATAATCTAGTATTTGTTCAACTTCATATTCTTGTTCATCATTGATTTCCATGGGCATTTCTTTAGCATGTAGCAGTGCTTTTTTTCAGTAATGAGACATGAAATACAGGGATATATTCTCATTTTTCTTTGATAGTCACAATCTGTAGTTGACCTTTCCCGATTCCACTTTTCAATTCTTGTACAGTTTCAGTTTTTTAAAATCAAGTTT